AAGCCTATGAGAATAGCATTAGGATTTTTACTGGACTGTAAAATGCTTTCAAAAACAACGCAGAATAATAGGTATAAAGTGTAAACTACTGTTTAAACTTGACCATCTCTATAAAAATAAGCTATGAATAATACTGTATATATACACTGAATTAAGATAAAGGTATAATGCAAAGATATACAGAAATAACCACCCCTCTGCCCCAGAAAACTCCTGACAACTTGAAAGCATACAAATAGGAATTAAGCAATTTATTTAATCAAAACTTTTTAATTTCAAAGGCTACATATGAAAGTGAACCATATCTCTTACTTAAGAAAACCCTGAGTCACATACAGCCCAGTTATGTTTAATCTTAACAAAGTTGAAAGAAATCAGTCCTGGATGAGGATGAAATCTGCTTCATTTACTGCACTAGACAATAGCTGTGGATATGTGAGGCAATTCTTTTCTTACTCTGTATTACAACTCATAAAATGATCAGTGTTTTATTTAGTTTATCATCTTTTAGGATAAAGTAAAAGAATCATCATGCATGCTTAAAGTCAAGTTCTTCAGATGACAAATTTCCCTTGAAAACTTAAGGACTAAGCTTATTTGAAAAAAGAGCCTTCCAATGACTTGTAGAAGATGTTAAGAGATAAAAGGTAAAGTTGGAAGTAGAGAGACTTCTGCTTCCATGATGGTTTCCATAACTTCCCCTAAGAAACCTGAAACGAGCATAAAGATGTACTGGCTAAGACTATAATGAAGTACCATGTTTGCACATATTTGTATCTTTATCTAAGATTTGGACAGAAAACTAAAACTAAAAGATGGGTAATAATGGGAGAGGCAGGGAGAAAGAGACAGAGAGAGAAAGAATGGTTGTAACAACTCACATTATATACTAACAGTACAGGTATCTACTGTAATGCTGTAGCAGATCCTGAACTCATTTAACACTGGTCCAAATATCTATCATCCTTCTTGTGTTTTTCTCTTTCTGATATTTGTAAGTTGGAGCTCCTTTTCAGGAATACAATTGTAAAATGCCTCTTAAACAAACACAGCCTCTAACATCAAGCCACTCACACACTTAGTCCTGTGATATTAATGAATGAGAACTCCTTTTCCTAAATATTCAGACAATTTCCTATCTTGATTTGTTAAAAAAAAATCTTTTTTCAACAACCAATATTCTTTTAAGGAAAGGAAAGAAGTTTCCATTTATTAAAGTTACATCTGATATCTATGCCACACAACAAAGTATCATTATACTTAAGTTTAATGGGAGAAAAATGAACATAATAGATACTGGTATTTCATGTCCAAAGCAAGTCAGATGCAAGGCAAGGGGAGGGGAATAAACCTTAAATTTCTAGTCTAATCTTAAGCACTGAAACTATGATTTTTTTTATTGTTTTCCAATTAATTTACAATTATCCTAATTAAGTAGGGATCAATATAGCATTTTCATAAAAGCCACAGGAATTACAAAAGAACTTCAATAATTAATGATGATAAGAAATCTTTCCACAGTATATGAGAAAAACCTTTTCTGCAGCAACATCAAAGGAAAAAGATGACCTAAAATAACAGACTTTTTTCTACTGAGTTGATTATCCAGGCATAAAGGGTTGACAAAGGATTGACCTCTGTCATTGGACTTATTAGAAGGGGCCTGGATAAAGAAAATGTTATGTTAATGAATCAGGTGAGTGATGGAGGAATCACCCTCATACATCCACTTATACATTTTTGAGACAACATGTAACGCGTGCGCACGCACGCACACGCACACACACACACACACACACACACACACACACACACACACACACACACACACAGACATTCTACCCTTCCCTAAACATATCGGAGAAGCCTGTCACTTTTTCATTATTTCAGTTCTAATACGGAGAAACAGGATTTTTCAAACCAATGGACAGAAAAAAAATTGGGCTTTCAGAAATGTTCCTGCTGAAACTTATTAGGATTCCTGGCTATACTGTTTAATTTGGTGAACAGGATAGTGAGGGAGGTTTGTGAAGAGACTCCTGTCAACTCCACTTGTTTTCCAGGGGTATTAAAAATAGAAACAAAAACATATCTGAATGCTTGTCATTACTTAGGGAATCAGAAAAGTTCAAGAGGATCCACAACTTAAGCTGCTGATGTGGACTTAAGAGTATCTTAAGTAAAATTAATGAAGGTATTTAAAGAGATGCTGATGCTATGGTATCTAAATAAGATTTTTCATTTTAAAATGTCAATAATATGACTAAACCTTCTCAGTGTTAAATATCTTGTATGTCCTATTCAGGCTTAGTCTATTCTGAAAAATCTTTGTTTTTCAAAGCATAAAAATGTCATACACGCAGGTGGAAAGGAATTTAAAATCACATCCTACAAATGAACATGAGAAAAATGATTCATGGCGCCAAGAAACAAACATGAAGAAAGAGCAGAAAACTAAACAAAAAACACAAAATACATTTTACAGGTCTGTCAGAAAACATTAATAAAAGTTATAATAACAAAGAAAAAGGATGACCACAAACCTTTCTTTTTATTTACTGCCTTGAACGTTCATAATATTACTCCATTTTTAACAAGAGAGCCTAGTGGAATCTGTGATTCAACCCTCAACTATTACAAATACTAAAAACTATTTTTGATGAAAAATCGAATGCTTTCCCTCTATGATCAGGACCAAAGCAAGGATGCCTATTCTCACCATTTCTATTCAACTCTGTACTGCGGGTTTTAGCCAATGCAGTAAAGGAAGAAAAAGCAATACAAGGTATTCAGATCAGAAAAGAGAAAGGAAAACTGTCTATTAGTAGGTGACATAATCATTTATGTAGAAAATCCTATGAAATCTAAAAAAAGGTTCTAGAATTAATAATTGAATATAGAAAAACTACAGATTTTAAAGTAGACACATAAAATTTAATCATCTTTTTATGTACTACCAATGAACAATTAGAAACTAAAATTAAAAAATACTTTATAATAGCATCACAGATATAAAATGTTTACAGATAAATTTATTTTAAGTGTACAAGACCAACACACTGAAACAACAATATATTGCTGAGAGACATTTAATATCTAAATGAATGGAGAAATATGTGGTCTTTATGAATTGTAAGATTCAATATTGTTATGATGTCACTTCTCTTCAAATAGATCTACAGATTCAATGTGATCCAAATCAAAATTCCAGGCATTTTTATAAAAATTGACAAGATGATTCAAACATTCACATGGAAATTAAAGGAACCTACAGTAACCTAAGCAACTCTGAAAAAGAACACAGTTGAAGGATTTACACTACCTGACTCCATGACTTACTCTACAGCTACAAAAAGTCGAGATAGTGTGATATTGCTAGAGGGAGAGACACACAGGTCAATGCAACAGAATAAAGAGTCCAGAAATAGATTCACACACAAAGGATGAACTGATTTTCAACAAGATGTAAAGGCACTTCAACAATGGAAAGAAAAGTCTTTTTAACAAGTGGTTTTGGAACAACTGAATATCCATGTGCCAAAAAAGGTTGGGTTGTGGGGGGACAACATTCCTCTATACCCTGAACCTTGCATCCTATACAAAATTGAACTCAATTGGATAATCGACCTAAATAAGGCCTAAAACTATAAAGATTCTAGAAAAACACATAGGAGAAAAATCTCTGTGACTTTGGGTAAGGCAAATATTTCCTTAGATCAACACTAAAAGAATGAGCCATAAAAAAAATGAACAAACTGAACTTCATCAATGTTAAGAATTTTTGCTCTTTCAGGACCCTGTTAAGAAAAATCCCATATCTGATAAAGGACTTACATCCAGAATATAAAGAATGCTCAAAACTCAACGGTAAGAAAGCAAAATACCCAATTAAAACACAGCAAGTTTTGAATACGCACTTCACTAGAGATGTACAGATGGCAAACAAGCATATGAGAAGATGCTCAACATTCATTTAATTCATTTCATCAGAAATGCAAATTAAAACTACAGTGAAATACTCTATACCTATAAGAATGGCTGAACCCTTAAAAAGACTGACCATACCAAATGCTGATAAGGATATGGAAGAACTGGTACTCACTGTGCTGGTGGGGAAACAGTTTTGTAGTTTCTTAGAAAGTTATAACATACAACTGCCATTTAACTCAGCCGTTTTGGTCTTAGGTATTTAGTCAAGAGAAATGAAAGTGTATGTCCATCCCGAGACTTGTATACAAATGTTCACGGCATCTTTTTTTATAATAACCAAAAAGTAGGAACAACCCGAATGTCCACCAACATGTGAAAAGGGTAAAGAAATTGTGCTATAACCATATAATGAAATACTACTTGGCAATAAAAAAGAATGAACCACTAAAGTGTAACAACATGGGTGAATCTCAAAATAATTACACTGAATGAAAGAAGCTGAAAGAGAGAGAGAAAGAAATATTGTATGATTCTATTTATATAAAATTCTGGAAAGTGCAAATTAACCTATGATGATTAGATCAGTGGTTGCCCTGGGAACTCAAAGGGAAGAAGGAGGGGCAAAAGGAAGGTACTCAAAGGGCCACAAGGAAACTGTTGGGGGTGATAGATATGTTCATTATCTTGATTGTGGTGATGGTTTCACAAGTATAAGGGTAACAGTGTCAAATTGTACAGTTTAAATATGTACATTTTATTGTATGACTATTATATCTCAATAAAGCAGTCAAAAAATTCTATTGTCAAAAGGGTAATGTGGCTCTAAATTGTACCCTTCTTAACTAATCACTGAAGTGCTTTGGTCAAAGTCAATTCTACTATGGGCAAGATTATTAAATTAATCAATTCACTGAAAAAAAGAATTACTTTTTCAGCAGATATGCAAAAGCAAGTGAAATTAATAATTCACATTCACAGTATTTTCGAGGTAGTTATTTGCAGGGTTTGGGTGGGTTTTGGACAAGTGAACTATATCTAGAAAAAGTATATTGGAAAATAAATGATCATACCTTGATTTGTGCAAAGGGTCTGTCATAACCTCCAACATAGAGAAGGCCAATGTTTTGAGGAAGTAACCTAAAAAGGAAAAAAAAAGCATTATTTATAAAATACTCTTCATTAAATATAAAGTTGTATAATTATCAAAATTTGTGTAACAGATAATTTCTATGAAAAATTAATCTCTATGTGATTATTCTTGTCTTCTGCATGATGGGATAGTAATAAGCAAAGAAATAATTCTTATATTTCAGAAAATGTTGGGTAAATATTGAGAATAGCAACTTAAATGTAAAACAACCTAACACATTAGTAATTTTAGTAAAATTACTATGTAGGGGAGAATTAAAAGAAATAATGCATAAAATCAAAACTACAATGAGGTATCACCTTACACCACTTAGAATGGCCATCATTAAAAAAACTGCAAACAATAAATGCTGGAAAGGGTGTGGAGAAAAAGGAACCCTCCTGCACTGTTGGTGGGGATGTAAATTGGTGCAGTCACTATGGAGGGCAGTATGGAGGTTCCTCAAAAAATTAAAAATAGAGTTACCATAAGATCCAGCAAAACCACTCCTGGGCATATATCTGGAGAAAAATATAATTTGAAAAGATACGTACACCCCAATGTTCACAGCAGCACTATTTACAATAGCCAAGGCATGGCAACAATCCAAATGCCCACGGACAGCTGACTGGATAAAGAAGACGTGGTATATGTACATGTACACACACACACACACACACACACACATATACACACACACACACACAGGAATACTACTCAGCCATAAAAAAGAATAAAAGAATGACATTTGCAGTAACATGGAAGAAACTAGAGATGGTCATTCTAAGTGAAATAAGCCATAAAGAGAAAGAAAAATACCACATGAATCTTAAAAAAAGGACACAAATGAACTTATCTAAAACAAGGAAACAAACTCACAGACATAGAGAACAAATACATGGTTATCCAGGGGTAAAGGGAGTAGGAAGAAGATGAAGAAGTGCATTTGTGGAGTGTGGAGTTGTGCAGGGTATGAGAAGGGCATAATTAAAGTTATTACTCAATGGTATCTTATAATCATTGTCAACAGGTCATAGTGTGAGGTGATTGTGTGATTACTGAGGGGGAGGACAGGCCACCCCAAAATACGCCACTTTGATGTTGATTATTTTGAGCTGAAGGCAATTAAGATCCAGCAGACTCAGAAAAAAACTTTTACCTCTCCCTTACCTTAGAATTTAGATAGGGGGCCTGGTTCAGAAGAACTATTCCCAGAGATAACTTTTTTATCTGAAAGACCTATCTGCACAGCAGGGCAGACTTCTAGAAATCACCAAACATCTGCTCTTCTCACCTCCCTTGTGAAGACTGGGCCCCATCCCATTCCTTAGCTTGGGATGGCACACAAGCCCGACTTGCCTTTGAGCCTCTTCTCTTTGGGGACACCATACATACTAAATTACATTTGTTCTTCTGCTAATCTGTCTTATGTCAATTTAATTATTAGACTGAAGAACCTAGAAGAAAAGAAGGCAAAGCCCCCACCCCACCCTACATTACCTTCTATTGACTTGGTCTTGTAAGACTAGTAAAGCACACTCTTAGAGCACCTCAGATTTTATGAAATAAGGTAGACAGATACTCAGTTTCCCAGGAACATCCTCTGTGCCCTGCACTCTTTAAAGGCCTAGAAAGCATTAAAGGCCACTAAATGCAAATAGACGATGAACACAATAGTAAATTAAAATTAAACCAATTTAGCAGAAAGCTACTTAAGTTTGGAATGTGATCCCTATAGTAGTGCCTTTCAGCATGTTGCTAAAGGTTATAAACATGACTAAAGGCACTTGTTCACTGGATGCAGGTAGAAAGTATAAGAAAAGTCCCCAAATCTCAACTGTGAAATGGGGAGTTTTTTAGCCATCATTTGACAAATAAGAAATTAATCCAACCAACAAAACTTCCAATCTCTCATAAATTGCTAGTATCACAAATTTAATGTTAGCTATGTATAGCAGTGGTAATTTATTCCCTGCATAACAAATGTTAACAAAACGCTTGATAAACCCCTTTTAGAAGTAAGAATAGTTGCTCTTCATACAAATAGATGCTCAAAAAGGAAGAGAATAAAAGCTGGCTGACATTTAAAAATCAATATGCCTCTAATTACTGTGCATATGCATTTTAGGCAGCTTGCCAATATACTATTTAGTGTGTTCTCCTTCCTCCACTTGCCTATCTAATAACTACCCTCTAAACAAGAAATATCTTAAATACGTCAGTTACAGAGCATACATACATTTCACTTTTAAAACACTGCTCTTTCTCATTCATGTACGTATAATTCCTTACCATCAATTATATTACCACCTTCATGTGAGTAGGTTTTAATATGTATCATTATTTAAAGGCCCACTATGTTGAAAATAATACTTTGAGAATACAAATTTCAACTTTTAAAATGAGACACTTCTTTAAATGTTTTTGCCTTTCAAAAATTATTTTGGCAAATTGTATACATAATTATTGTCAAACAATAGGCAGGCACCATTTTATTATGGCAGGGTACTTACATGGAATATAGCAATCACAGATTTTAGATCCCCAGAGTAAAGGCATTAATTCAGTACTAACAGATGCATTTATACGTGTATGTTAAAATAGAACCCATGGCTCACTAACTACCAGGTAACTGATTTCCCTTCCGTTAAGTGAACATTAACTTAACCTTTATACATGGGCTAATAACTCTCAAAATATTTGCTTGTAACTAAATGCTTCTATAGTGTGACTACCAAAGACATTTTTGGAAAGGAGCAATAAGAAGGCACTGCTAGAAAAAAAAGAAAATCTATTAGAGCTTTTGAAGAAAGTAAAGATAGGCAAGAATAATGTTCATTTTGCTTCAATTTCCCAAATACAAATATCAATAAGTATCTACCCTGCAAAGAAAGCCACAAGATTATTTCCAGAAAAGTTTCTCACATAAAGGAAAAATAAAACTTGCCAGGTAACAGAATGAACATTATTTAAAAGAACCTCATTCACCATCATTCACTGATGATATATGGGGGCTTAGAAAAAACTGCTTTAGAAGGAAATTGAGTCTATAATTATTTCAAATTAAAAGTTAAAAAAGGCAAAGGGGATCTTTCTAAAAATAAGCTCAATAACTCAAAATTAACTGTTCTGTCTACAGGCCATAATTACATTACCCACTAACTGATATGTTTTTCAACTGCAACAAAATACTTTGAAAAAACTTGCAGTATCTTGAATACTGACTGACTTAAACAAAATCCCACTTCTACACCAAACAGCAAGTTCTCCAGAGAGCAGACTCTATCCAATACACTTACTACTAAGAAAAAAAAGAGAAAGCAAATGCACTTAATATGGGATCAATAGGGCTCTTCTGAATTTGAGAAAATGCACATTATTGAGAAGGCCTGCATTATTCTGAGACTTCCAGTCAAATGTAAGTAAAAGCAGCATATACTACTAGGCCCAGATGAAACTCGGATGAACCAATGAGTTTATTATTATCCTTACAGACTTTTCATAGCCTATACTTTTCTCTTTTGGTTTGCTTTCTAAACACTGGTACAGGAATAACAAAATGCTATAGATTTTCATGAAGAAAAAAAAAAAGCAGAAAACTACCATCAATAGCAATAACATGCTTAAATAAAGAATCAGTGTGCCAGTAGGAATAAATTACCTGAAAGTGATGCCTGTGAAATATACATTGGGTGAAATAAATAACAGGAATAATAAATAAGAAGGATAAATACAATGCTGAAGTAAACAACAGAAAGTTGAATCATTTTGCAAAGGTATGTAAGAAATGTTGAGCAGCCAACACTCAGAGAATTAATGCCAACATAATGTGTAACTAGATACAAATGAGTAATATCCCACATTATTAAGAAGGATGGGGATGAAAAAGAACTAACTTGAGTAACTTCAGAAAACAGCATTTTGATGATAATCTGTAAGGCTACAGATAAAAAGAACTGTACACAAATATAGTCCTTGAGTTTGTAAACTTGTTTCTCACAGGGTTATGGGTTAGTAACTCTGAAAATACTTCATTGTACGCAAGGATTTAACAAACAAGTAAATATATCATGGATAAGGAGATGCAGATTGCTCACTGTACAAAGGACTCTAAATAAGAAAAGGAGAAAGGATAGAATTAACATGATGATGCTGGGATACAATCAGAGCTATTAGTAGGAACTCCTGGTTTTTAATATAGTCACAGATAAAGAAATACATGTAAGTGTGTGTGGAGGTGCATGTCAGTATATGATACAACTGTGAGGGTCTGTAACAGCCCCTAGCAGCAGCGACCACGCCTAGAACCTAGATCTGTGCTTCCAACCATCATTCTCCAACTAAAAAGGGAAGAAAAAAAAAAAAAAACTGGGCTCCTTGGAGAAAGGGCTGATTCCTAGACAGAGGGAAGGAAAATGTAAGATAAGCCCAGAAGATAAGCCCAGGAGGTATGAAACGTGAAGAGGGTACGTCAAAAAGACACAGAAGCCAAACTGAAGGTGCTCCCGATGACCTAAGTGAAAATAGCAAAATAAAATCACAGTGCTGGGTTATAACCAACCCATGGAGTGAAATATTCCTAAGTCCTTACTAATATAAATAAATATCGGACGAAGAGGGGACAGTTGTTCTTTACAGTTCAATCCCAATTAATGCACTGAAGAAAATGAAGGAAACTGAATTCATCATATTTTAAATATTCATCAAATTGAAACTGAAAAACACCGCAGTAATGATTGTTACAGGCAAAAACCATTGAAAGACGAAGGTAGGATGAGAAACATGTTATTTGCCTAGCCTCATAGTTTCTCCCCAGAAAATACTCATTGATTATTACATATATATTATATATATAGCAACTTTAGAGTACAGAAACTCAGCAGACTCACTTAACTGAATAATCAAAATTACCAACAAGACCCTTCCACCCCCTACACACCATATAACGCACCTAGAAGGGCACATTATCATATCCATTGTGTTCCTGCCAAAAAATATCCTCCCCCCC